CCTTTGAGAAGCCGCTGCAATGGGATTCAGTTGATAAGGCAGCTAGAGTTGCCCTAAGTCAGAGACATCATCCCTGACTGCTCAGATAGCCACCCTGGCAGCTTATCACCACACTGCATGGCACTGATTATTATTTGACATGTTCCCTATTGATCCGTTATCTGCCTTTGTCAGCTAGGACATAATATGTATCAGGTCAATGACCTTATTTCCCCGACTTACTCCTGTATTTCCAGAACTGGGAAGAGTGTCTGGCACAGAACAGGCAACAGTAAATATTCTGTAATGCATGAGTGAGTGAGAGAGTGAACCTGCTCAATACATGGCTATTGAATTCAGTAGCGCGGCAGTTGTGGGGAGGCTTGCTTCCTCCCACAGCGCTGCTTCCCCCAGACACCCGCCCAGCTCCCTCCCTCCTCTCCTTCAGTGATGTATTTAAATGTCCCTTCATCAGTGAGACTCCCCAGAATACCCAATTCAAAATCCTAACAGTTCCTACATATCCCGTCTACCTCTTTCTCTGCTGTGGGTTTCTTCAGAACTCACCATTATCAAACAGTTTCTTATTAGTGACTCAGTTAACTCTTTGCCCTCCTCCCTCCCCTGATAACATGAAAACTTTGTGAGGTAAAAATGTGTGTCCATTATGTTCACTGTTGTATCCGTATTGCCTAGAATAGTGCCCTGGCATAGAATGATACTCAAGTAACGTTTGGTGAAAGAAAGAAAAAGAGAGAGGAGGAGGGGGAGGGGGGGAGAAGGAGGCAGAGAGAAAGGGGAGAAGAAGGGGAGGGAGGGAGGAAGGGGAGAAGGGAGGGAAGGAGGAAAGAAGTAAGGAAGGGAAGGGAGGGATGGAGGCAGGAGGGGAGGAAAGGGAGGGAGGGAGGGAGGAAGAGAGGAAGGGAGGAAGGGAAGAAAGGAAGGAAGGCAGGCAGGCAAGAAGGAAGGAAGGAAGGCAAGCAGGAAGAAAGGAAGGAAGGAAGAAAGGAGGGAGGGAAGGCAAGAAGGAAAAAGGGAAGGAGAGAAGGAAGGAAAGCAAGCAAGAAGGAGGAGGAAGGAAGGAAGACAAGCAGTAAGGAAGGAGGGAGGGAGGGAAGGAAGGAGGGAGGGAGGGAGGGAGAGAGGAAGGAAGCAGGCAAACACACAAACAGGAAGGAAGGAAGCTTAGCTCTTTGAGGAAAGAGGTGGGTGGTAGATGTGGGAGACAGTACGGGATTGAGATCAGAGCAATGGAACAGCAGCCACGTGAGCAGAGAGGCACTCATTTCTAGCTCCCCAGACACCTCCTGAGTGAATGCCAAGTCTGACTCTCTTACCTTAGTTCCTGTACTGTAACTCTGTGATGAAGTCATGGATCATGGACATGATGGCGCTGCTTTCACAGGAGCTGCCCACAAAGTGAGGAATCATCAACATGCTCGGATGTTTCTTTTCGAAGTAATTAACCCAGTTGGCAATCAGAGTGGACTTTCCGCAACCATGTTCTCCAGAGAAGAGCAAAATAGACTTGTAAGTTGGAATAGCATTTATTCTGAAAAAGAAAAGGGTAATAAAATGTAAAGAATATTTACCAAGGAAGGAAAGCAGAGAATGAGGGAGAGAGAGAGGAAAGAAGAGAAAATTGTCCTGCACACACTTTTTTTTAAAGAGATTAAGTTCTAGGCTGGGCATGGTGGCTCATGCCGGTAATCTCAGCACTTTGGAAAGTTGAGGGGGGAAGATCACCTGAGGTCAGTAATTTGAGACCAGCCTGACCAACATGGAGAAACCCTGTCTTTTTAGTAAAAAATACAAAAAATTAGCCAGGTGTGGTGGCGCATGCTTGTAATTCCAGCTACTCAGGAGGCTGAGGTAGGAGAATCGCTTCAACTGGGGAGGTGGAGGTTGCAGTGAGTCAAGATCATGAAACTGCACTCCAGCCTGGGCAACAGAGCCAAGACTCTGCAGGAAGGGAAGGGAAGGGGAAGGGAAGGGAAGGGGAAGGGAAGGGAAGGGAAGGGGAAGGGAAGGGAAGGGGAAGGGAAGGGGAGGGGAGGGGAGGGGAGGGGAGGGGAGGGGAGGGGAGGGGAGGGGAGGGGAGGGGAGGGGAGGGTCTTAATTTCTCCTCAAGAACAAATAGAACATTGCATTTTGCAAAGCAATCTGCAGTTCCTTTCAAAATGAGAAAAAAAAAAAGGATGCCATTGATTTGTATGGTTGGTTATTAAGACAATGCTTTGAAACCTGAAAAGAGCATTCCTGCTTTCCCTCTCCATTTTGGTGGGCTGGTTGAAGATGAAAATCACTGAGGATGAAAGGCCTGGGACTTCAGCACCCGGTGTGCCAGTCCAGAATTGGTCCATCTACAGACCCCCTGAAAATCAAGTGGGCTTGGATTTGGACATTCTCAATAGAAAGGGTTAAAGCCTGATGGGTCCTAAAGCCTGAATTGAATTGAATTGATGGGACCTAAAGCCTTGAATTTCGATCAAGATAAGCTGTCTTAAGTTCTCTTCACTACACATGATCTTAGGTAATTGATAGATCTTAGGTAATTGGTTTCTAGACAGAAGCTGGATTCATGTGATGCCAGAGAAGTAAAATTTCAAGAGACCAAAACCAGATCTCAGTCTCACTGTTCCATTCTGGACCTCTTTGGTACTGTAAACGCTGGATATATAGGAGATGATTACTGTGGGTTTTTTTTTTTTTTTTTTTTTGAGACGGAGTTTCACTCTTGTTGCCCAGGCTGGAGTGCAATGGCACGATCTCGGCTCACCGCAACCCCACCTCCTGGGTTCAGGCAATTCTCCTGCCTCAGCCTCCCGAGTAGCTGGGATTACAGGCACACACCACCATGCCCAGCTAATTTTTTGTATTTTTAGTAGAGACAGGGTTTCACCATGTTGACCAGGATGGTCTCGATCTCTTGACCTAGTGATCCACCCGCCTCAGCCTCCCAAAGTACTGGGATTACAGGCTTGAGCCACACCTTCTGGAGACCTCACTATCCTATTATGTCTTTGTGTGAAGACATGCTGCTTTGTAATTATCGAAAGTGTCGCATCAAACTCTCTGGCAATGCATGGGTCACTGCCTGTTCTCACATCTTCTGTGATCAGCATGGCAGTGGTGAATTTAGTCGCTCACTAGTTATCTGTCCTGCCAGCAACAGTACCCTTTCTGGAAAGCTAGATATTGTCCGCACAGAACTCAGTCCATCAGAGGAATATAAAACTATGGTACTGGCATGACTGAGACCAGAGATCGTGTTGGACATTACCTCCTGAGCACTGGCCTTCCGGACATACCAGGTACATCAGGAACGTCTCTATCAAGAATACAATTTCAGGAAGGCTGAGGGCCATCTGAAACAGATGGAGAAGATATATACTCAGCAAATACAAAGCAAGGATGTAGAATTGACCTCTATGAAAGGGGAGGTCACCTCCATGGAGACAGTGATAGAAGAATACAAGAAAAAGTTCAGTGACATCTCTGAGAAACTTATGCAGTGCAGTCGTCAGTATCAAAAGCTCCAAGGCCTCTGTGATAGCCTTTGGCTATGAAACATCACTATTGCTAACCATGAAGGCACCCCTGAACCATCTATGATTGCACAGTCTGGTGTTTTTGGCTTCCCATTAGGTAACAACTCCAAGTTTCCTTTGGATAGTTCACTTGTTCGAAATTGGGGAGATGGAGATGGATATTTTCAGTCCAGACCATTTTTTGTAGGTTCTCCCACAGCACCTGAACCCAGCAACAGCTTTTTTTAGTTTTGCCTCTCCAAGTCATGAATTAGAGCAGCAGCAAGTTTCTAGCAGGGCCTTCAAAATAAAAAGAATTTGAGCCAGGCATGATTTCACGCACCTGTGATCCCAGCAACTTAGGGGGTTGAGGCTGGGAGGATCACTTGAGCCCAGGAGTCTGAGGCTATAGGGATCTAAGATCATGCCACTGCACTCCAGCTTAAGCAACAGAGTGAGACCCTATTTCTAAAAAAAAAAAAAAAAAAGGAAAGGTAATTTAGCCAACTTCACAGAATGTTTCTATGTTCACCGTCAGTGGTTTCATTTAGCAAATCCTTTTTCTAGATAGGACTCCCGAAGCCTCCCTGTGCTTTTAAGTCTCTGAAGTTGTCTTCACATTATCAACATAACCAACTCATTGGCAGTGGGGAGTGGTTTAGAGTCTGGTTTCTTTGTTTCTATTATTTAAAGCATGAGCATTTTATTAATCTTAATTCCATTGTGAACTGCTGAATTTTCATCCTTAGTGAGAAGGTTACAACAGTATTTGTTTCAATGGATAACTGTTACTCTCCGGGCTGTTTCTGACTGAGCTGTGTTGTTTATGCCTGAAGTACCTGTGTTATATGCTACATGTCACTGAATTCTGGTATTTATACATGTCTGTATATGCAAGCATACTAATTTACAGTGATATTTTGCTGTATTTGCCAGTATGTTTATATGAAAATTTTGGTCTCGGAAAATGGTGGGTGCTGTGTGGCTTGTATTTGGATATGTGTATTTATTTGTATATAATTATGTATTTACCTTTATATTAACTTGTTTGGAGGTATGCTTATGTCAGTGTATGAGTGTATGTTCAGTCCCTATTTATACTTAAAAATAACTCACATTGCTAAAGTTATTTTTTAAAGTTGATTTTTTTGGTGTTTATGGTTGGCCCTCTGTCCACACATTCTGCATCTGCAAACTCAGACAACCATCTATCAAAAGTATTCAAAAAAATTTCAATAAAAAATTAAAAAATAATAATGTGGCCAGGCGGGTGGATCACAAGGTCAAGAAATCGAGACCATCCTGGTCAACAAGGTGAAACCCCATCTCTACTAAAAATACAAAAATTAGCTGGGAATGGTGGCGCACGTCTGTAGTTCCAGCTACTCAGGAGGCTAAGGCAGGAGAATTGCTTGAACCCAGGAGGAGGTTGCGGTGAGCCGAGATCGCGCCATTGCACTCCAGCCTGGGTAACAAGAACGAACCTCCGTCTCAAAAAAAGAATAATAATAATAATAATAATCTAACAATTAAAAATACAAATTAAAAACCAATACTGTATAACAACTATTTGGACAGCATTTACACTGTAGGTATTATAAATAATTTAGAGGTGATTTAAAGTATTTGGGAGAATCTGTAGGTTACATGCAAATACGATGCCATTTTATAAAAGAGACATGAGCATCCAAGGATTTTGGTATCCGTGAGGGTCCTGGAACCAATCCCCCAGAAATACCAAAGGACACTATTTTAAAATAAACCTACTTCTTTCTTTACCTTTTTGTCAACTGTTGCCTTGGGTTTACTTATTTAGGAATGCACTTCTGCCGAAAGTTTACCAACGTGTTACTGCTCGCAGGAGACTGTATTAAAATAATGTAAAAGATAAAAAAAAAAAAGAACATTCTTTTTCTGTTGACCTAGACACACCATTCAGGAACTTCAGGTACAGAGCATTGTTTCCAAACAGCAAAGCAAACAAAGCCCTGAATGTTTTCATGTATGTGATATAAAAGGACTTATTTAATTGTTGTATTTTAATTGAGCACAATAATTTGAGTTGTTCAACTGCAATAAAATTTATTACATTTATCATCCACTCTGAAACACTTAAAATCATAACCTAAGTGAGAAACAATTCATAGGCTACAAAAGTCACCATTTTAAAGTGTGCCCTTCCATGGGTTTCATTATATTCACAAGGTTGTACAAACATCACTGCTATCTAATCCCAGAACATTTTCAGCACCCCCAAAAAGAAACTCTGTACCTACTAAGAATCATTCTCCATTTTTTGCTACTCTCTTCCCCCAACAGCCACTAATCAACTTTCTGTCTCTGTAAATTTGTCTGCTTAAACCCAACATCCTTAACACACGACCTACATGTTTCTCCTGTAGTCTGAAAATACTGATGGAGCACCATGTTGTATTAACGGAATAAACTGTCTTCCTCTTCGCATGGGTTCCCAGAACCACAAGAATGTTGGTAGCCCTATCCCTGAGTGAACTAGACCAGTAGGTTCTGAACCTAGGGCAGCAATGGTGAAAGACAGCCCTTAGCCATCCCAGCACTGCAGTTTTATTTCAAAGCACAAATCTCTCACAGGACACGAGATACATGGTAAGAACTGGAAAATGAGAATGGAAGAAATAACACTATCCTAAGAACCTCCCGTTTCCAGGGATGAGACTAGTAGGGATACCATGGATAACCCCAGCTCTCTCATTGCTGGCCTCAGCCTCCTAATGGTGGTGAACACTGTATTTCACCACCCAGGGTGAGAAAGATATGGAGGTTTTATTGTAGAGGACACTGGATAAAACAATAAAGGAGTGTATATATTGGGTAAGATAACCGGTTTTTTTCTTTAGAGATGGAGACCTACCATGTTACCCAGGATGGGCTCAAACTCAGGCTCAAGGGATCCTCCTGCCTCAGCCTCCTGAGTAATTGGGATTACAGGCATACACCACCATGCCCAGCTCAAGATAAGCTGATTCTTTACACACAAACACAAATAATAATATGGTCCATATCATTTTCATAAGTGCTAGCTGAATATCTGAATGTAATTAATAATGAGCTGATGATACATGTGGAAGCTCTTTGTAAATTACACAATATTATGCAGATGCATTACTCATATTTCATCATCTAATTTTTTATCTTTAAAGTCACTCCATCATTCTCAAAAATTACTTAGACAACCTTTGATGTATGGGAGAAAAAAGAAGCTGGTTCCCTGAACTCTGGAAGTGTCTAATCTTCTTGAGGACACTGGAAGAAACTATGTGAGATACCAGAAAAGCTTTGCGAAATGCAGAGTGATATTGGATAAGAAAATTCTAACCCTGGGGTGACACCTTTAGGGGGTGTCCCTTGCAGGAAGGGATGAGCATAGAATGGGGAAAGTTAGAAAAGGCATTTCAAGTGTGGGGGATTGCGTTTACCAAAGTCAGGCTGTTCTGCCTGAGCTTGGGATTTCTTGACATCTTACCTGGGGACAACATCTAAACTGGAACCTGCTGCTGTATTGTTAAAATCAAATTCCACATCCTTCAAGGCAAAATTTTCCAAGATTTCAAAGGTCCTGTTTGACTCCTTGGAAATAACAAACATTTGCTCGCACTTCTCAGAAAATTCTTCATGTTAGGAACGTTCAAAGTTGTGCTTGCAATCTTGATAGTCAAAAAGATACATTTTAATAACTTAGATTTGTAGTTTCACATTTTCGATTGCACATGTTATTACAAATGCCCAGGAAGGTATCTCTGTAACTGTATCACCTTCTATTTGGCTCCATATTTCACAGCCCATTCAATATACGAATGAAAGAAAACTACAGGAAAACAATTGAATTTTTCTTCTGCTTTTGTACACAGAATCCTACTTAGGATTCCAAGTTATTTCATGACCTCAGAATGACAAGGGCAAAAAAAAAATAGGCTTGCTATGCAATGCAAGTCATTTTTTCAAACAGTTAGCTAAGTAGGAAGTTATCTAATTCAGTCTTGTGAGGTATGTATGTGTGCCAATCTATGACAGAGGTTAAGGGAGTGGGGTATATTTTTAGGGCAAATTCCCTAATAAGGATGACAGCCATGGCAGCTCTGCCACTGGGCAAGTTTTTAAAACTCTTTGGTAAAATAAGCAGGAAGGGCCAGAAAATGGATGATTTCTGAAGTTTCTTCCAGTTTCAATTTACTGCAATTCTAAATTCATTGCCTAATTTAAGTCAGGGTGTTCTGGGCTCCCAAAATGCCCTCCTGTCTCTGGAGACACCCATGTTCCCTTTTTTTTTTTTTTTTTTTAAGGAGTGAAGGCTGTTATCAACACATGCAGGAAAAGAAACACCAGAGAGGTTACTCTGACTGGTTCCCAAAATACTCACATTATACCTTCATAGTTAACTGGGCTGCCTCATGGCTCAGACAGGACCAGAACGGACCTGGAGGATCCACAGGCTGGCCAAGATCAGCTTCGAGTTTCAAGATCTTAAACAGAATTTGGATGACCACACAGTCTAACAGTCCTCTTGCACTAACCCTGAACCTCATGCACTAGTCTCAGAGATCTTCAAGGACCTCAGAAGTACTTCTATGGGTCAAGAGTGTAAACTAATAGTTCCATATTGTCTTACAATAACTACCAGCTGCACAATTGGCCTATCACTACCCTAACTGTGGACTATGAGATTTTGGAGTTACCTAAGTGATTAAAGAGCACTGAAGATCCAAAAAAGAAAGAATTTACGACTTCTTTCTAATGGAAGGAAGCATTATTTTTAAATAATCCATCCATTCCATGCCTTCTAATTCAGACATTTAGACCAGATAGATACATTCAAGAATAAAGTCTAAAACAAGCTAACCTTTCAGCGATATCCAAAATCAAAGACTAAGAATATTACAGAGCAATAATATGACCTTAACCCCAAAACCCAGAAAGGCTATATTCTTGAACACATTAGCGGATATTAATCAACAGATGCAGTTCAGGTTGATATGACTAAAAGAATATTAATGTTAACCACATTTCTGACTTTAACCAAACGTATATATTCTTCTAGAACCCACTTGTTATTATTCATCCTCACTAGTTATTAACTCTGTGCCTGATATGTGCCCAGTGCTGTTTTTAGTGGTTTACATAATTACTCTCAAAGTGGCTAATGTTAACCCATTTTACAGAAGAAAAACCTATGGTTTATCAATATTAAGTAATGCATTCACGGTCACATAGCTAGGAGCTGAAAAACACAATATTCAAGGACATGTCTGTTGGATTCTAAAACCCCAAGCCTGTTATAAATATGTGGGTTCTTTTTGGCTGCTCAACATCCAATCACCCTCCCCTAGTTTCAGTAACAGCCCTAGATTATCACTGGGGATCTACCCAACCCAAATCTCAGTTCATACAATTCCAATGAGTCTAACTCCACTTCTAGGTCCAACTAGCCAATCAGAGCATCACATTCCCTCGGCACCAGTGATTGAATCAGATGAAAGCATATGGCCCAGGTCAGGCTAATCAGAGCCAGAAAGACTCAGTGTTAGGAATGCTAGGACTTTGAGCCATTTCTGCTGGACTTGAACCTGGAGCTACTATGGCCCATCTTCCTCTGCCGTCACGATAGAGGAGCCAAGGTGATGAGCTAACATCAGGACAGCAGGGCCAGGCTGAGAAGTAGTCAGAGACAAGGATCTGGTAACATGATTGGAGCAAATGAATGAAGCCTGAGCTGAATCAGACTTAATCCCGGCTTTGTAGTTATATAAGCTAATAAATTCTCTTTCTGTTGAAATTGGTTTGAGTCACTTGCAACCAAGAGTTGAGACTGATACAATGTTCTTTTTCCAGGTCCAGATGATTTGGCTTCTAGGCAGAGTTTTGTCTAGCCTGCAGAGGTTTGTCTTCACCACCACCACTGAATTCAAATGACTCTCCTGCTCAGTACAGATCCATCTGCTCCCTATCACATTACAAGGACTATTGTGTGCCTGGTCCCTGAAAGTATTTGAGAATGTACCGCCTGCCACCATTTTGCCTCCTTATGTTAATTGGGCCGTTTCATCAGGAATTCATAACCTTTTTTGGGTCGTTAGCCTTCTGAGAATCTGATCAAAGACACAGGCCATCTTCTTATCCCCAAAACACACACAGGCATATAAACATTCTATTTTCCATACAATTTCATATTATTTTCATATATTCTGTTTTTCATATAATCATCACAGATCCCTCCTGAAGTCTGTCTAGGTGACAGACTCTTTTCTTTTTAATCTGGTTCGTGTCCACAGGAAATTATTTCCCAAAATAATGGTAATCATTTCACTTAGAGGCAATATGATCAGGCAATGATTCTCAAACTTTAACTTACATGTAAAGCTCCTGGTCATCCGTTAAAATGCAAATTTTAATTCAGTTGACCTGAAACGGGGCTCAAGATTCTACCTTTCTAACAAGCTCCCTAGGTGATGCCGAGGCTGCCAATCCATTAATCACACTTACATAAAAAAAGGTGAAAGAGAGCAGCCACAGATTTTAGAGTAAGAGGGATCTGGTTTCAAATCCGAGATTGGTCCCTCACTAGTTTTGTGACATTGGTAAGCCACTTCACTGCTACACAGCAGCTTTCATTTGCTCATCTGCAGAATCAGAATTATAATACTTATCTTGCAGGGTTAAACCTTGAAGATTAAATGTAATAAAATAACCAAAGCACCAAAAAATGAATAAAAGTTGATTCTCTTCTTCTTAGCTGAGGATTTCTCCACCTCATCACTATTGACATTTTTGGTTGGGTAATTCTTTATTATGGGGCTGTCCTGTGCACTGTAGATGCTTGTCAGTATCCCTGGCCTCTCCCCACTAGATGCCAGTAGCTCTCCCCCAATTGTGACAACCAAAAATGTTTTCAGACATGGCCAAATGTCCCTTGAGGGAGCAAAATCAGCCGTGGTTGAGAACCACTGCTCTAGACTCACTTATTAACTGCAGATATTTTGGGTCTTCTCTGAGCTCCTTAACTCCCTAAAAAATCTTCCATAACTGACTCATCACTTGCTCTTATCTTCAGTTGCAAAAATCTTCAAAGTGGAGAAAGAACAAGAACATAATAATAATTTTTAAATGTTTAAGGAATATTTGCAATCATTTAAAAATTCCTTCACAAGGAAGAACTACAAAAATATTACCTTTATGTTGATAACAGACTTAGTTATCTCTACATTTACTAACCTACATTTTCAATCTTTGCAGTGGCTGGATGAAGTTTTTCTATCACAACTGACCAGTCCTTGAAAACCAGCTCACCCAACTGGTGGAGATCACTGTAAAATCTCACAGGGAGCCCTTTACTAATAATCTTGGCCTTAAGCTTTCCAATCCTCAATTTTTCCTCTTCGTTCATCGATGAACTTGAGGGTAGCCTCTCTTCCTTTTCCTCATAATCTAAACCCTTCAGCAGGGTGGCTCCAGTCCTAAAGCAAAAATACTGAAATCGAGATTGATTCAGAAATGCTGCTTGGATTATCTCTTCATCAGACTGCAGTTGGGATTCTCCAGAACCCAAGGATAACCATTTTTTGCAGCAACGTAGAGATTCTGTTCTACTTTGGATAAGTTTGACAAGTGAGTCACTGTGGAGGTCATGAAATGTGAGTAGTCAGGGAGGAAGTTTCCGTATGTCTGACCCAGCATGCAGATGAAAAAGGGAAAGCAGCTGTCCACATAGTCAAGGCAGAGCTTCAGCTGCTGGGAACAAAGACAAGAATACTGTCTTAACAGGTGGGTGGGTGAGGATTTCGGGGCCTTCAGTGCTGACCAACTCAGGTCCACGACTTTGAAATGTGTGCCCTAGGAATTGCAGAGTTCATTAAGCTGAGGGATGATGTTGTTTGCCAAGAAGTCTCTCTCTTCTTGAAAATCATTCGGAGTCGAACAGATGTAAGGCTGAATGGGTTTCTGGGGCTTTTGAAAAAATTGGGTATACCTCTCTATATTCTCATTTGTCTTCTGGCTCATTTCTGTTTGCTTAGAGACAATGCTATGCATAAAATATAACAATTTTCATCGTGGCACAGCCACCGATCTCCACTGCTTCTACGTCTTCCTCCCAATTATGTTTGCTATGGACACATGGAAATATTTCTTGAAAATGGATTCTTATCAGTATTGGAAGGTGAGAGATGCCAACCAAGGGACAGGTCAGAGTTGAAAAACAATCCAGTTTAAGTTAGGACTGAAAAAGAAAAAACATTCATTTTAAGTTACAGGCAGTGCGTGTCTCCCCTCTTCTTCCAAAGCTTTTGCTGAAGAACTGAGAACCAGAAGGTGAGTGGGCACAGGCCAGAGGCCTCCCCTTCTTTCCCCAAGCCTCCCATTCTACCTTCTCAGTGTCCCTGCGGCCAGCTGCTACTTCTGTCCCGTATACATTTGGGAGTTATGCAAGGGCACTTGCTGACAGTGTGAAAAAGAAAACAAACCCAGAAAAGGAGCCCAGTGTCTGTAAGAGCAGAACAAACCAAGGAAGACCCATGACTGTGACCAGAAGCAAGAATGAAAGCAGGTATGAAGATGAAGTGAGGACAGGAGGAACAAAGGTCCTGGACTGAAAGCAGCTGGCAGCTGAAAGGCAAGGAAATCTGCATCTAAGAACCTGGTAGAATTCAGGGAATTTTTTTTTAATCTTAAGTTATGCAGGCTCATACAACATTCCACTCACCTCCACGAATTTAATTCCACTGAGTTAACATGCACCCTCCAACAAAGTCATAGCTATGCTTGCAAGAGCTCAGAAAAAAAAGCATGGTAACCTACTTTTATGAGCTTTTTCTTGATATGACTCATTTCCATGCCAAATACTGCTTTCCTTTGGTTACGTTTATTGCTTTCACTTGTGGAAAAATCATATCACGTTATAGAACAATTTTTCATCAAGATCACCTGACAATAATATAATGCAGTACCTTTTTAAAAAGTGTTAACCCTTCACATGGAATTGTCCTCACAATCCTATGATAGCTAGGATTACCACCCTACTTTATGCATGACGAAGCACAAGTGCAGACAGGATAAACAGCAAATCCAAAGTCAGTGAGCTAGGAAGTGGAGAGCCAGGATTGAAACACGGGTCATTCTGACTCCAGAACACATACAGTATCATGCCTCCATAGTATAAAGATAAGACCCTGGGTCATGCAGACACTATAAAATTGGTGGGTGGGAAGCACCTATCCAATAAGCAGTACTGCAATAAATAGGTGGCAATGTAAAAAAGAGGAATTTAGACCATAATCTCATACCATTAAAAAAAAATTCTGAAAGATGGCAGAATAGACAGCAGGGGGATTTTATTAATAGACATCTCACCAGTCATGCAGGAGGCTCAAGATAGATTATTGGCCCTTGCAGACTCTACCTTCTTGTATTCCCCAATGATCAAAGGTCATTCCTATTTTATTCACTACCAGTTCATTATCAATAGATATATCAACAGAATTACACTAAGAGATGAGTCAAATATTGGAAACTTTGAATAAGTTTTAAATAGCTATGAGTAATTGGTTATGAAAAGCTAGTGGAGGGCCAGGTGTGGTGGCTTATGCCTGTAATCCCAGCACTTTAGGAGGCCAAGGCAGGTAGATCACCTGAGGTCAGGAGTTTGAGACCAACATGACCAACATGGTGAAACCCTATCTCTACTAAAAATACAAAATTAGCCAGGGGAGGTGGCACATGCCTATAATCCCAGCTACTCAGGAGGTTGATGCAGGAGAATCGCTTGAACCCAGGAAACAGAGGTTGCAGTGAGCCAAGATCACACCATTGCACTCCAGCCTGAGAAACAAGAATAAAACTCCATCTCAAAAAAAATTAAAGAAAGGAAGAAAGAAAGCTAATGGAAAATATGTAAAACATGCATATTTTGTTGGATATAAAGTTTCAGCAAAGAGATGAAATGGAGGTAAAGTTTCAGCAAAGAGATGAAAACCATGAGAAAGAATCAAATGAAAACATCAGAAAGAAAAAACATGGTATCAGAGATGAATTCCTTCATCAGTCTTTTTAGAACACTAAACACAGCAAAGGAAAGAATCAGAAAATGTGAAGATGGGACAACAGAAATCCAAACTAAAACACAAAGAGGAAAACGTAGAGGAAAAAACCACCAAGCACCCAAGAACTATGGGACAACTTCATCTATTCCAAATAGATAAAATTGAAGTACTAGAATGAGAAAAGAGTGAGATAATGAGGCAGAAGGCAGCTGAGGGGAGGGAAGGAAATAGCTAGAATGTTCCAAAATAATGAAAGACATCAAACCACAAATCCAAGAAACTCATATAAACCCAAGCAGCATAAATACAAAAAAAAAGAGAAAATTAAAAAAAAAATAAAACACCTAGACACATTACATAGAGAAACAAAAGATAACTGAGTGAATTCCTTTTTTTTTTTTTTTGTAGAGACAGGGTCTCACTTTGTTGCCCAGGCTAGTCTCAAGCTCTTAGCTTCAAGCAATCCTCCCACCTCAGTCTCCAAAGTGTTGAGATTATAGGTGAAGCCACTGCCCCAGCCAAGTGAATTCTTTAAAGTACTGACTAGGGAAAAAAAACGGTCAACCCACAATTATGTATCAGGTGAAATGTCTATAAAAATGAAGGAAAACTGAAGACTTTTTCAGACAAACAAAACTAAGTAAATTGACCACCAGTAGGCCTGTGCAATAACAAACGTTAAAAGGGTGTAAACCCTAGAGTAACTAACACAAATTTTAAGAAGAAACATAACTAATAAGCCAATAGGATAGCTCAACTGGCATCATTCAAAATAATCAATTAGTGCAAAAGAATGTTGAAAAAGAGAGAAAAATAAACAGATGGGACAAACAGAAAACAAATAGCAAGATGGCAGATTGAAATCCCATGACATCAATAATTAAACTAGATTGTTTCTCCTAGGCAGCTGTAATGGGATCTTGCTTTTTAGATCTTATCTCATAATCCCTCCCCATTTTTTTAAATCTTATCTCATAAGATTTAATTTAATAATATAGGCCCCCTAGTTTACTTTTAAATAGTATTTGCACAGTATATCTTTTTCCAACCTTTGTTTCATCTGTCTCTTTATATAGGCAGCATGTAGTGCTGAGATAAGATTATGAGATAAGATTTAAAAAGCAAGACCCCACTACATGCTGCCTAGAAGAAATCTACTCTAAATATAAAGAGACAGATGAAATAAAAGGTTGGAAAAAATACACTGTGCAAACACTATTTAAAACTAAACTAGGGGGCCTATATTATTATTCAGAAAAAAACAGCAGACTGCAGAATAAGGACTACTATATGAATAGAGAGTGACATTACATTACATTACATAATAACAAATATAAAAATAACTCATAGATCAAAAAGAAAGTTAAAAAAATTAGAATGATTATAGAAGGCAGCTCATTTAGTTGGAGACAATTTTGGGAGAAAACGCTATAAATGGAAAGGGGCACAAGGAAACTAGAATGATGGAAATGTTCTATATCCAAATTATAGTGGTGGTTACACAGGTATAGATATTCATCAAAGTTTATCAATTGAACACTTTAAATGCATGCATTTTATTGAATATAGATTATACCAAAATAAAGTTGATTCTTTAAAAATCCGAGAACTATATAGCAAGAAGAAAATGTTTGTGTTAAGTGAAAAAAAGAAAAAAATTAGTTATAGACCATAATAATAACAATGTGAATAAATCACTGCTAAATATGGGAGACAGCATAGTATAGAGATTGAAGGTCCAAGCTCAGAAGACCAATTCCCTGGATTCAAGTCCTTACAGTCAGTTTCTTAAATCCACTGTGCTTCAGTTTCCTCATCTGTAAAATAGGGATAACATTATATTGCAGAGTGGTTGAAAAGTTTAAAGAAGTTACTAGATGCAAAATGCTTAGAACAGTGCCTAGAAACAAATACTCAACAAATATTAATCATTATTATTAAAATGAATGCACACAAGGGAAAAAGGAAAAAAAAAAAACAACATGGCAGCTGTCTTAGAATACTCATATTATGGCCAGGTATGGGGGCTCACACCTGTAATCCCAGCACTTTGGGAGGCTGAGGCAGGTATATCATGAGGTCAGGAGTTCAAGATCAGCCTGACCAAGATGGTGAAACCCTGTATTGACTAAAAATACAAAAATTAGCTGGGTGTGATGGTGGACACCTATAATCCCAGCTACTCAGGAGGCTGAAGCAGGGAATTGCTTGAACCCGGGAGGTGGAGGTTGCAGTGAGCCAAGATGGTGCCACTGCACTCCACCCTGAGTGACAGAGCAAGCCTATGTCTAAAAAAGAAAAAAAAAAGAAAGAAAATAATACTCGTATTATGGCAAAACTGCTTCTCTAATCAAAATTACTATAAAGTTATTTTATAATTAAAACTTTAAAAAATAGTCCTCTCCATACTCTGCTTCACAATTGCTGATAAAAAAAATTTTTCCCAGTTTTCACAGGAGGAAGAAATTAACAACAGAAAGCAGGAAGCTAAATGAAAAAAGGAGTTATTTTTGAGTGGATAGAAAACACAGAAAAATAGGACATGTGTTTTTATTTTTTTATTTTTTGAGACAGGGTATTGCTCTGTCAACTCAGGCTGGAGTGCAGTGGCATCATTGCTCACAGCAGCCTCAAACACCTGGGATCATGCAATCCTCCTGCCTGTCTCTCGAACAGCTGAGACTACAGATATGTGCCACTGTGCCTAGCTAAGTTTTTTTTTTTTAAAGGTCTCACTACGTTTCCCAGGCTGGTCTTGAACTCCTAGCCTCAAGCGATCCTCCTGTGTCAACCACCCAAAGTGGTATGCACCATGCCTGGTGTATTTTTCTTTAAAACAACTCAACTCAAAAAAATTTTACGCTGGCCAGGCGCAGTGGCTCACACCTGTAACCTCAACACTTTGGGAGGCCGAGGTGGGCGGATCATGAGGTCAGAAGTTCGAGAGCAGCCTGGTCAATATGATGAAACCCTGTCTCTACTAAAATTACACACACAAAAATTAGCCAGATGTGGTGGCACACGCCTGTAGTCCCAGCTACTCGGGAGGCTGAGGCAGGAGCATCACTTGAACCCATGAGGCAGAGGTTGTAGTGAGCCAAGATTGGGCCACTGCACTCTAGCCTGGGCAAAAGAGTGACATTCTATCTCAAAAAAACAAAACAAAACAAAATTTTACTAGAAATATTTCATTATTACTGTAAGTGGGGGGGAAAAACCCTTATATGGCACAAATAGACAGTAGCTGTAAAAATAAATGCATTAAGGCCAGGTGTCAGAATCCCAACACTTCAGGAGGCCAAAGAGGGAGGACTGCTTGAGCCCAGGAATGTCCAGCCTGCAGTGAAGTATGATGCAACAGCTGCGCTCCAGCCTGAGTGACAGCGAGGCCCTGTCTCTAAAGAAGTAAGTGCATTTAAAAGAAAACAATGTAATTAAATTCTAGTTAAATATAGCTCTTTTTATTGGAAAGGGAGATTAACATGTACTTAGAGGTACCAAACTGACTTTCTCTTCCCATAATCAGTAAGACTGAAACAGAATTGAAAAGGTTCAACTTTTGCACTAGAGAATCAATGTTATTTAATATTTTGTCCCTGACCCACCTGATAGCAGCAACTGGCATCACAGTGGCGCCTCCTTCTTTGTTTGGTACACTCCCAGAGGTCGAGCATGGACTTCAGAGTCATATAAACCTTGCCTCGGGGTCTGACTCTGACAGTTTTTGCAGCTGTAAATCTGGAATACTGACTGTACCCATGTGATGAGATTAAATGAGGCCTTTTATAATAAGCACCTCATAAACCTTTGTCTTTTAAAAATTTTTTGTTTTAACACTGTGAAGGTAGACTTCTCATTAAGAAATTGTGGCCAGGCATGGTGGTTCATGCCTGTAATCCCAGCACTTTGGGAGGCCGAGGTGAGTGGATCACTAGAGGTCAGGAGTTCTAGAGCAGCCTGGCCAACATGGTGAAACCCCATCTTTAAAAAAAAAAAAAAGAAATATCCTTCCCGGGCCAGGCGCGGTGGTTCATGCCTGTAATCCCAGCACCTTGGGAGGCCGAGGCGGGTGGATCACAAGGTCAAGAGGTCGAGACCATCCTGGTTAACATGGTGAAACCCCGTCTCTACTAAAAATACAAAACATTAGCTGGGCACAGTGGTGCGTGCCTGTAATCCCAGCTACTCAGGAGGCTGAGGCAGGAGAATTGCCTGAACCCAGAGGCAGAGGTTGCAGTGAGCCGAGATCACGCCATTGCACTCCAGCCTGGGTAACAAGAGCGAAACTCCGTCTCAAAAAAAAAAAAAAAAAGAAATATCCTTCCCAACAGATTCTCAATCAAGCTATTACTGTTTAATACACATTTTAGAATCTGCAAGTTCTACACAAAGTCCTCAATAAATGTTTGCTATTCCTATTATTATTTCTGCTGCAAATGTCTAAATTCATATTTTGTGATAAAGCAGCCTCAATAATATCACTGCATGTATTGTAGCTCTTTTTTTTTTGAGACAGAGTCTCGCAAGGTCGCCTGGGCTGCAGTGCAATGGCACGATCTCGGCTCACTGCAACCTCCACCTCCTGGGTTCAAGCAATTCTCCTATCTCAGCCTCCCAAGTAGTTGGGATTACAGGCGCCTGCCACCATGCCTGGCTAATTTTTTTGTATTTTTAGTAGAGATGGGGTTTCACTATGTTGCCAGGCTGGTCTCAAACTCCTGACTTCATGATCCGCCCACCTCAGACTCCCAAAGCGCTGGGATTACAGGCATGAGCCACTACACCCGGCCTTAGCATAGCTCTTTATAACTAAAAGTTATAAGACAATCTATTAACTAGTCAAAAAAGCTTCTGACCTTTTTCAGAAATTTATTGCAACATTTTAAGGCTTAGAAATTTCTATATTCAAATCCCGCCTCACACCCACCCCACAATCATTTTAGTATCATTTTATTAATTTTACCCGACAGCCCCAAGTTGTATTTTTTTTTTTTTTAAAAAGTTTCTTATAGCCTGGCCAAATGGAGAAATTCCGTCTCTACCAAAGAATATGAAAATTAGCCACGTGTGGTGGCACACGCCTGTAGTCCCAGCTACTCAGAAGGCTGAGATGGAAGAACTACTTGAACCCAGGGGGCGGAGGCTATAGAGAGCCAAGATCATGCCACTGCATTCCAGCCTGGGCAACAGAGTGAGACCCTGTCTCAAAAAAAAAAAGAAGTTTCTTAAGCTTAAAATGTAAATTGATGGGAATGCAAGTTTGTGCAACTTTCCTAGGGGCAATCTGTCAGTGTATAGCCAAAGCCTTGTAAAACAAATCGTATACTTTTACCAAGCATTCCAATTTTAGGATATTATTCTATTTGTCTATAAGAATTTCCCTCTATGGCCAGGCACAGTGGCTCATGCCTATAATCCCAGCACTTTGGGAGGCCGAGGCGGGTGGATCACGAGGTCAAGAGATCGAGACCATCCTGGTCAACATGGTGAAACTCTTTCTCTACTAAAAATACAAAAATTAGCTGGGCATGGTGGTGTGCACCTGTAGTCCCAGCTACTCGGGAGGCTGAGGCAGGAGAATTGCTTGAACCCAGAAGGCGGAGGTTGCAGTGAGCCAAGATTGTGCCATTGCACTTCAGTCTGGGTAACAACAGCAAAACTCCGTCTCAAAAAAAAAAAGAATTTACCTCTAAGGATTTTCACCGAAGCAATATTTATAATGATTTTAAAACTGGTAACAAACTAAAGGTCTAACAATAATAAATTGGATATCTTGTGGAAAATGTTTACCACGTTGGTAAGTGAAAAAGATAGTTACAAAACAGTATTATTGTGTGATCCCATTTTTAACTTAAAATGTGTTAAATATTAATAAAGACATCAAGATGCTAATAGTGACATATCTGATTAAAGTAAATGGGTTATTTTAATTTTCTCCCTTTAATTATTTTTTTTTTTTTGAGGAGTCTCTCTCTGTCACCAAGTCTGGAGTGCAGTGGCACCATCTGAGCTCAATGCAACCTCCGCCTCCTGGGTTCAAGGGATTCTCCTGCCTCAGCCTCCCAGGTAGCTGGGATTAACACCACACCCGGCTAATTTTTGTATTTTAGTAGAGACTGGGTTTCACCACGTTGGCCAGGCTAGTCTCAAACTCCTGACCTCAAGTGATCCACCCGCCTTGACCTCCCAAAGTACTGGAATTATAGGCAGGAGCACAGCCCATAAAAGACTGGTAAATATCCATGAAAATTTGAATCCACGAACTCTTTCACCTAACTGTTCCAAAACTAACAACTGACTCTCCAGATAAACTTGCACAAACAGAAAATGTTGTGTGCATTAAAACATTCCTTGCAGCACTGACTGTAATAGCAACAAGCTGGAAAACATTCAAAGGCCTATCAAATAGGAGTAGATAAAAAAGGACAAGACATCTAAAATCTATTAAATGAAATAACCTAGTGTGGATTGTACTATTTAATCATTTAATATTTCCAATTTTATTACACATACCTGTATGTACACATACATACACACACTAGAACATTTCTGGAAGCATGCATTAAAAAACCTCTATCAGAAGAAACCTCTACAGATTAAGAACAGTAGAGTAGGGGAAGCCTGGAATGTTTACCTTTGAACTTGTGTTTTTCTGTGCCAATTAATTTTTTTAACCAGGAAAATCAATTAGTTTTATAATTTAAAGCCAAAAGCAAGAATTGTGTAATTACATAATTTCTAAGATTCCTTCTAGCGCTAAAACTCCAGTAAGTCCTTAATATGAATTATTATCAACATGGCTGATTTGATCACTCAAAATATTGAATATATTTACCAAATTTTTAATTTAACAAATCCCTATTTGAAATTCAGTTCTGCTTGTGCTCTGCTAGGATCCAAAATTGACAGGGGACAACTGGATACATATTTTTAAATTGATCTATTTTTCTAAGGCAGATTCTAGGGAGATTGTTTATTTTTAATTGATAGGAAATGAAATATAAGCTACAAGACTATGGATGAATTTAATTTATGGCAGATTGAAACTTTCTTATTGCATGTAAGAAAGTCAGAGAACCCAGAGGTTTTTTTATTAGCAGCTGCAGGTAACTATTTTATAAATCCAAAGTTAGTTCTCAAGGAGGGTAATATGGTGTGAGCTGGGGTAAGAGGGTGTAGGGAAAAGACCACAAGTAACTCAAAATTGCAGCTAAAACTTGTCAAAAGAGTATATAATGTAAATTTAGTTGTAATCACATCCAATATTTAGAAACGCTATTGCTCTATAGCGCAAAATAATACAAGTTCCATAGTTTGGAAACACTGAACATCATATAAATTTCTTGATGAGAAACAACCAAAAGGTTAATATGGGAAAATAATTATGGTTGCTTAACATCTTCGCTGAAATCTGATCTTTTGGAAACATGACGATGGGACCAAGGACTTCAGCATCTACTATGTAGATCTACATCTACATTCAACTGTGACAATTTCAAGCAGAACTGCCCTTCTCCCAGAACCACGAAAGAGGCTGAAGGAGATACTTGAGAAACAATTAATTTAAAGGCATCAGATAGATATCCAGCAACCAGGATTTGAAGAGACAAGATTTCAGAGAGAAGGGAAGCTTTGAGAAGTGAACCCTACCTTCTCCTGTTGCCTTTCCCCCTTGAAGTGTTTGCTGATTCTTATGCCACACAGAACGAATATTCTTAGAAGGCACAATGCTGAGAAGCTCAGCAAAGCTCAGCGGCTTCATGGTGCTTGCTAGTGTTAGATGGACAAAAATTGGAGCTCAGAGCCTACCCAGGAGGAAGAGGCATGGGAAACACCCTAGGCTTTCTGTTACACGTTTTCTGGATGCTCATTCTTGGTTAAGAAGGTGTCTCCCGCCAGGTGCAGTGGCTCACGCCTGTAATCCCAGCACTTTGGGAGGCTGAGGCGGGTGGTTCACGAGGTCAGGAGTTCAAGACCAGCCTGGCCAACATGGTGAAACTCTATCTCTACTAAAAATACAAAAATTGGCTGGGTGTGGTGGCACACACCTGTAATCCCAGCTACTCGGGAGGCTGAGGCAGGAATTTCACTTGAACCCAGGAGGCAGAAGTTGCAGTGAGCTGAGATTTCACCGCTGCACTCCAGCCTGGGTAACAAAGACTCCATTTCAAAAAAAAAATAAGGCCTCTCCCATCTCTGCCTTGTATACTCACAGGCTCTCTTAATTTCTTGTAAGCAGGAATTTATTTTTTATATGGTGCAAGATAGGAGTTTAACTATTTTGATTGAGATGGATAACCAGTCAAGGTTAGCATCATTTATGATATTAACTATCCTTTCCCCTCCAAACTGAAATATCGCTTTTGTCTTATCTTAAATGGAAACAATCTATTTTTAGATTATTTGGTTGCACTGATTTTGTTTTTGAAATGGAGTCTTGCTCTATCACCCACGCTGGAGTGCAGTGGCACAATTTCCACTCACTGCAACCTCTGCCTGCTGGACTCAAGCAATTCTCCCGTCTCAGCCTCCTGAGTAGCTGGGATTATAGGTGCACACCACCACGCCTGGCTAATTCTTGTATTTTTAATAGAGACGGGTTTTACCACATTGCCCAGGCTGGCCTTGAACTCCTGACCTCAAGTGATCTACCTACCTCAGCCTCCCAAAGTGCTGGGATTACAGGCATGAGCCTCTCCATCTGGCCGGTTGCATTGATCTGTTTGTATATTCAAATATGTCAGGGACACATCATTCTTTTCCACCGTACAGCATCTGAATCCCATTCTTATGTGAGGGAAACCCCCACCTTATGATTCTGAGCCTCCCAGAAGAGAAGCTGAAAATGCCATGTAAAACCCTTCCCAGCTTCCCTTGCAACTAAGGTATGATAAGTAGCCTCCAAACGGGCCCCAGTGATCTCTGGCTGCTGGTATTTACAGCCTCGTATAACCTCATTGAGTAGGGTTGTTTCAGAAATGAGGGTGTGCAATTTCTAAGGTTGGTTATGAGTCACTGTGCCTCCTGCTCTGTTCTCTGTCTTGGATCACACACTCCAGGGGAGGCCAGCTGCCATGCTGTGAGCACACTTAAGCAGCCCTACGGAGAGGTCCATGTGGTGAGGAACTGAGGCCCCAGCCAACAGCCATGTGAAGGAGCCATTATTGAAGCAGATCCTCCAGCTCCACTTGAGACCTCAAATGATTTCAGCTGTGCCCAACATCTTGACCACAAGCTCATGAGAGATTCGGAGCCACAACTACCCAGTTAGGTGATGATTCCTGACCTACAGATACTGTGTGAGAGAATAAATGTTTATTGTTTTCAGCTGCTAAATTTAGGGGTAGTTATGCAACAATAGATAATGTAAGGGGTATGGGACCTGACCCAAGTTCTTCATCTGTTTTATGTTCCTCAATATTTTAGTTTTCTTCATGTTGGAACTGTCTTTCTCAAGTTTATTTCTAAGTATTTTATAGTTCTTTTCTCTAATATGAGTGACACTTTTTAAAATTCTTACTTTGTGTTTTTTGCAAGATTAGAGCAAAACTATTGATTCTTATGTATTTATCGTATAGCCAATAATTTACCAGATTCTCATATTATTTTACATTTTTTTTTTTTTTTGAGAGGGAGTCTTGTTCTGTCACCAGGCTGGAGTACAGTGGCGCGAATTCGGCTTACTGCAACCTCCACTTCTGGGGTTCAAGAGATTCTCCTGCCTCAGCCTCCAGAGTAGCTGGGACTACAGGCACGTGCCACCACATCCAGCTAATTTTTATATTTTTAGCAGAGATGGGGTTTCACCATGTTGGCCAGATGGTCTTGATCTCTTGACCTTGTGATCCACCCACCTTGGCCTCCCAAAGTGCTGGGATTACAGGTGT